TGGCAGAGGCAATGATCGCTCTGTCGTGTGCCTGCCAGGTTTAGCAGCCGTTGGTGACTTCTTTCGCTTAATAACTTGCTACACGGAAGCATAGGTACAGTTTTAAATAAACATGTTTCTGTCTAATTAAAAAAAGCTTATTACTGCCCTTTCGGTCAGAATCAACCAACTTAACGTGAAGGCAGGCGCGTCTTAGAAGTATACAAAACCAAGTCAGTGCAAAGCTTACAAATACCGGCATTACTTTGCATCCAGCAGCTCAATGATGGCAGATTTGCCTCAAGGTTATCTTCTGAGAAATTCTATGGGTTCCACTTGATGTGCGCACCCCACGGCCAGGGAAGGCGAGAAATCCGAGGACAATCGATGATGAAAACGTGGTCGTAAAGATAAAGTGTCGCTACGATTTAGAATAAAGGGCTTTAACGGGGCCCTCAAAATATTTGAAGCACCTCTAATTATTATGGGGTCATGTCAACTGGTAGCTGTGGGATAATTTTAGCATATAGCTAAGCACCGATATCGAACTGTTTGGTGTTTTATTCTGACATTTGAGTAAATACGTCACTGCCTACCGCATCAGCACGTAGGGGCTCTCGCCAGAACTTTGCTGGCGGCAATGACGCCGAATGGTTGCTGCCATATGATTGAATAAATGCAACGTTCGAAGCCATCGTGGCGTAGAATCAAAACTGAGGTTACACCCCGAACCGAGGTGGCCTCAACAAAAAATATCACTGTGACTACACAGCACACACAGACGCTGGAAAACTGGATTTTTGTCATGTGCGGGTTGGATGTTTATGCGAAAGATCCTTCTCTTTCTTTGGTTTCTTTTCTTGTTTGGGGAATTCGCGAGCTGTTTCTTTTCGCACGGGCGCTGTTGAAATATCGTGTCTAGAAATATACTTTCTAGGCACTATAGTTGAAGGGTCCAGCGCACTATTTCTGTAAAGTAGGTGGCTCGCCGATCAAATCGTGAAGGTTCAAAAATACTTCATCACCCTGGTAGTTCCACACGTTCCCTTCCCAGAGTAGGAGGGAGGGATTCACTGGGGATGTTGTAAAGAACAGCAGAAGATACGTCGCTTCGAAACGGTTAGCTCCAGCACATGGTTTGCCAAGTGAAGCTTCTGGCATCACGTTCTTGCGGTAAAAGCGAGGTCAACGTTAGGTTCGAAAGAAAAGGCAACAGTGGTGTGCGAACTTCATCTACGTGGCCCTCCTCGCTCATTTCATTGGGAAAGCCATTCGACGTCTTGGGGTCAGTGAAATGCAGCCAGGTGACCAAGCTAGAATCAAGTTGAGGGCAGGCATTTTTTCTTGTATTTAGAATTTCTAAATCAAATAACTTAGGACTGGGTGTTTTTATCACTGCCGTTGTGCTGCATCAGTGTGTCTGTCTGACAGTCAACATAACCCACGCATAAACAAAGGGCGTTATAGAGCGTTTGCTGCATGGAGGATGAAAACAACTGAGAGGCCCTGACGTCACTCGTTGTGAAGCCGTGGTTATGGTGGCTAGATGGGGAGGTGTGCGAAACGGCGCGCCGTGGAGAGAGCGGACCTTCAGGATGCTGCGGCGGCGCTGCTGTCGGCACGGAGATGCGATGGAGATGCAAAAGACACTCGACCGGTTGCCTCCGCTGCGAAACAGCGGACTTCGCACGCTCTATAATCGAGCTATCTGCCAGAAATTTGCAAGATTAATGGCAACGCGTATGTCGTACAGTTCATCTTCCACTAAATACACTTTCACGTCGACATCATGCGAGGTAAAAACATACGGTCACCTCCTTTTCCGTGTGTTAGACAACGGCGGAACCAGGGTGGTTTGAAGCCTGCCGTAACTTTCAATTTTGCGTGAGTATATATACACGCACGGATCAGTGGTGTAGCCCACCGGGCCCGTGCCCCCCCCCCCCCGAATTTTTTTTCTGCATGGGATACGTAGCACAAAATGACGCTCGACCACATCTGCCTGCCCGTACCCACATAAATCAAGGAGGTGCCCCCACCCCCCTGGCACGGACATTCATTACGGGCGCTTGAACACCCATCCCCCCCCACCCCCACCCGGGAAAAGTGGCTAACACCAGTGGCTACGCCACTGGTGTTAGACAAGCTGGTTCTGTACACTAAGGCTGTTTCTTGAAATATTGTTATAACAGGCGAGAACGCCTTTTAGGCATTTAAGTGGTGAGTGCATGCAACAGGGCGCAACTAATGGGGGGTTGAGGGGGTTCTGACACCCCCCCGAAATTTTTTTATGCTCTAACTTTTCGGGTGATACTAGAATACTTGCACGCCTTCACAGCGACCACCGGTTTGCCAAAGTTAGCCGTTCTACACAGAAACACCCCCGAAAAAATTCCTGGGTACGGCCGTGGTTTATGAGAATTGCATGCCACATGCAATTCCCATAAACTTAAGTTTTGGCAAGGATTGGCTTCCTTGCCTTTCAAGTAGACAACGAGCAACATGTTCACTTGGAAGAGCCCAGGACAGGGCCATGCTTAAAATGAACATTTATTCAAAAATCTATCAATCTTGAGCAAAGTACAAGTACATAACACGAAAAAAAATATTTACAAATTCACATAATGCACAAAATTGTAACTGATACAAATGGACCAATGTAGCAAAACATCACATGTATGAGGTAAGACTTCACAATCACAGTAAGGAATGTTGAATGCTTCTGAGCAGCAGAACTTCTTAATTATCAACTCTTCGAGTTCACATAAAATAAGGCAAAATGGAACTTCATATTTACACGAACATTGAAATGTTCACAAGATAAATGCATTCCATTATGTTGTTCGCCTCATCTTAAGGTGCTTCATCTTGTCTCTTTTAGCCTGTCTTGATGCATTCTCACCTGCCACTAGAAAATGAAGCCTAGTTATCGCATAAAATCTGATCACTTCATTTGTGACCTGTACATTGTGCTGTGTGCAGCCAACCGTGTTAAGCTTGTTAATAGAGAGGCAGGAGATGAGATCTCTTATGCTGTTGCTCTTCAGCTTGTTAAAGCTAAAGCAGTGTGTAAATGCATCTTCCATTTTCAAGACCAGCTCTGTCAGTGCTTGTGAAGGGTACATCAGTCCTCCTCTATCCATGTGATTTGTTAAACTCGACTCTTTTGGACGCGGGCCCTCGCTGTCCCCTCGTAGCAACAACTCTGCACAGTCACCACATTTGGTTTTCTTTAGCATTCTTCGAGCTACATACCCACAAACATAGTATGTTACACGGGAGTCACTTTTTGCCCCAACCAAATCACGGTGGTCTGGAAGGGCATCACATGCACTTAACATCTCATGGACCTCATTGAGCTGCCCTACATCTAAAAGATCATCAAGCTTATTTTGCACAAATTTTAGGTCGCAACTGTTGCTCGGATCCAAAAGGCTATTTAACAGGCCCTCTGAAACATTGCCACGAGAGGGAGACCGTGCCAAGCTCTGAAAACTGAGGCAATTAGTGGAGATGAGGAATTGTGTCGGTGTTGGATGGTCATTACATCCCGACATCTGTCTCAAGACACCGAACAAGTTTTCAATGGGATCTTGGCTCAAGCGCGCTGTCAGCAGGTACTTGAAGCCCAAAGTCCCTGTAACATACTCTAGAAGTGACAGGGTACTCTCAAGTGTTACACGCAAGCCTTGGGCTGTAGACGCACTCAGGAATCCCAGTTTGACTCCAGAGGATTCCCAGCCATCCAGAAATTCTCTAAACTTCATTATGTGCTTCACTTGCTCACTATCTGGCCTCAAACCCTCTCGGCAGTGCCTTGAGGTCATTGCAGCAATAAGGTCTCTTATCATTACAACAAAATCAGAAGTGGCTGCTGTGCTGCCAGAGCCATACTGCCTCTCTACTTCTTCCTTATAGAGATATAGCCCTCTCAGGACTTCATCACTGAAGAACCTGAAAGCTAGATTCACGCGCTGTTTCTCAAATCCGTTCGGGCAACAAACAGCCATTGACACATGAGGCATTGCTTTTAAAGTGACAGTGCTTCGGCTGTCACAGCGGAATGCCTCTTTCACAAACTCACTACCAACCCGCCCACCGGGTGTAAGGAGTCCTGTAGATGTGACAGCATTGCGAACACATTTGACAAGATGGGGAAAGTCGGAAATAAAATGTAAATAGCGACTTGAGTCTACTGGATGTTGCACTTTACACACTGTGTTTGACAGTTTTCCAGTGATGCCAAAGATTGTCCACATACTTCCTGTTCCATGTGGCCCCATCGCATGTTATGAAGTCAACAAATAGCCCACAGTTTTCTGCACAAATCACTGCGTCCAGAATAATTTTTGACAACACGTCAGCTTTCACATTGCCCCGAGAACCGAACACTCCAAGAATCTGTTGCCACTTCCCAGTTAATGGCTGAAAAAAGAAGCACAAGGCCATGATCACAAACGACTCCTTCTTGGTCCGCAGAAGTGTAGGATCCGAGGTCAACAAAACCATCAATTTGACCATTCTTGCTGACCGCCAAGCTTTCCGACAGCTTCAATTCATCTACAAGGATACCACCATGTCGGTGGCAAGGTTCAATGTCTTTGGCCTTCTCAGCAAGAGCAGCAAGCAGATTTTCATTAAACCCAAAGCCGCCTTTGTATTTTCTCACGTACTTCTGCAAGCACGAAGGACTCGGCACTACCATCAGTTTGTGTGCGCGAATGTGCTCGTAGAGCCGTGGACTCTTCATGTGCATGATAATGCATTCGAGAATCCAGCCCTTTTCAAATTTCATCCCGTTTGTTGCTTTTCTTTTGGAGGCTTCAAAACATGCGCGAACTTGCATTTGCTGCTTAGCCGTGAGGCTTTTCAGCTTTTCCTCAAACTGTACGGCACTCATGACTTCATTGTCATGTTTCATCTGTTGTAGCTTTTCCTCAAGTCTTATGATACTGCGCTTGTGCCGTCGAACTTGAGCATTCTTCGCAGCCAATTTACGTGACTTGACCACGACAACATTTCTAGCTCTTGTACGCTTGTAAGAAGCTTGGTTTAAGAGCAGCTTGCGGGCGTACTTGCATTGCACCACATCGACTATTGTTCTGACAGGTACCGAAGCAGTTCTTACTGTATAGCTTGCTTCCGTGAACCTTGTGGTTCCTCGTGGTTAGCAGTTTGTCGTCGCTGATACCCATCCCAAGCCCCTCGCACGGTGTCATCGAATTCATATCAAACAAAATACCCTTTACAGCATCTGAGCTATTAACATTCACAGCTTTGATCACTGATCCCTGTACGTAAACAGTGCAGTGAACGCCAGTTTCGGACAATGTACATAAGAGTAGCTTCTGAAAGCAGAGTGAACTACCGTTCACCTCGCAAACTGAAAATGCCATGACATCGGGAGCATTGGGTACCAAATGCTTACACCAATACTTGCTAGGAAGGTCCTCGTCTCTGATGCTCTCGAGCCACTTTTCAACGGCAGAATGCGGCGTTGCCTCAGCGGTGGAGCACTCCGAGTCCACTCCTCCATCGGTAACACAAATTTCACCGACTTCAGTGACATCACATACGGAGTCATCTTTCCTACGCTTTCGCGGCACGCCACCATTCGACGCTGCTGTTTTCCTTTTCGGTGGGAGCTTCTTCGTAAGGTACGACGGAACATTCGGGAAACAGTCGGTATGGCGTCGGGAGTCAGGCAGGGACGGTCTCGGGGAATTTCGACGGTTTCACCATTGATTACATGCTTGTACGTCCGAACGATAAATCGTTCATCAAAATGCGCTTCGCAAATGACACAGTTTTTCTCCAGTGGCTTGTCTGCACGCGGGATCAAGCGCTCCCAAGCCTTGCGTCGTTCGTCGTCCTCAGGAGCGGTGAAAAGGGACGCCTTTTTACCTTGCTTTCTGGCGGAAACATACCCAGCAGTGCATCCTGGAGCAAAGCAGTGTCTCTGTCTCTTTTCATTCACCATAGCTGTCGCGAGCACGGCGGCATTGCATAAAGAAATCACTGAAAGCAGCGGCAGCACGACAGCACTTCGCTAAAACACACGTGTTCCCCGATGCACCACGAGCAAGAAGGCATCTCCGTGGCGACAAGCGCGCCACCTAGCAGCGTCATGGAGCACTGGCGCGCCTCCTCTCGCAGCGCAGGCTGCCCGATGCTGACACCTCCCCATCTAGCCACCATACCGTGGTGAAGCCGGAAGCCAGTCATGTTGACTGGGCAAATTCTCCTCTCTTGTTTACATCCGATTGTGAAGCAGAAAGTGCGACTCTCTCGCCCGCTCGGAAAGCATGTGGGATGCGCAACGCGCGTGTCGTGAGGGACGATCGAAAACCAACGGAACGGGGCTCAACACTCTGGGCCAGCGCGACACTTTCGGCAAAATCATTTCGTCGCAGTATTAACAGCGAGTAACAGCTCGCCGACAACGAAGCAAGCACAAGTTACCGGGAATTGTTTTCACGTCACTAATTCATGCACTGTACAGACAAAGTGATCAGTCGTGCACCTTATTCTACGGGTGCATTCCGCCACGCGGCCGTTGTGGCACCCAGCCAGAGTACGCGCCATGCAGGCCTCTCCCATGATTCGCCAGTCAACCCGGTCTTGTGCTTTCTGCTACCACGTTATAGCTGCGCACGTTTTGATATAATTGGCCCTCCTAACTTTTTGCCTCCCCTTCGTGCGTTTGATTATCTGGAGATGGCTCCCCAAATGAGCAGCGGTTATCCTGCATACGTGCTACATGCCCGGCCAAAGTCCATTTTTTCTTTATTTCGACTATGATGTCCTTAACGCCACTTTGTTCCCTGACCCACTCTGCTCTTTTCTTGCCTATTGAGGTTATACCTATCATTTTCCTTTCCATCGCTAGCTGCGTCGCCCTAATTTTCAGCTGAACCCTCTTTGTAAGCCTCCTGGTTCCTGCTCCGTGAGGTAAGTACCGGCAAGATGCAGCTGTTATATACCTTCACCTTGAGTGTTAGTGAAGGTTTGCCATTCATGATTTGAGAATGCTTGCCTGATGTGATCCACCCGATCTTTATTGTTCTAGTTATTTCACTCTCATGGTTCTGTTCCGTGGTGACAACCTGTCATAAGTAAACACATTCTTTTACAGCTTCCTGCGTGTCTCCACCTATCGCAAGTGCTGTTTTCTGCCAAAGATGTTTTACAATAAGTTATTTCTGTACATATTAATTTTCAAAACTACTGTTCTGCTTTCCGTGTCCAGTTCTGTAATCGTGAGCAGTAATCCATCTCTTTGGTAACTCCTCAAGGCAGTGTCATCAGCGAATCGTAGGTTACTAATACTTTCTCCAGTAACAATTATCGCTAACTCTCCCGAATCTAGGGCCCTGCAAACTTCCTGTGAACACGCTATGATTAACATTGAAGAGATCACGTCTCCGTGCCTTACACCATTCTTTATTTAAATTATGTCGCTTAATTTATGGAGAATTATGAGAGTGCCGGATCCACTGTAGATTTCTTCTAGTACGTTAATGTAAAGTACTTCGATTCCCTAATTTCGTAGTGCCTGCATTACTGCGAGTGCCTTGATTGAGTTAAAGGCCTTCTCGTAATCTATGAAAACTATGTGTAGGAGTTGGTCATATGCAGCGCATTTCCCCATTAACTGATTGATAGTATAGATATAGTCTATTGTGGATCAGCCGGTACAAAATTCTGCTTGCTCCTTTGGTTGATTGAACTCTAATACAGCCTTAATTCTATAAACTATCCTTTTTGTGAATAGTGTGTAGAGAACGGACAGTAATCTGATCAGCCTGTAATTTTTCATGTCTTCGAAGACATGGATTAAGGTGATGTTGGCTTTCTTCCAAGATTATGTTATCCTTCCCGTCTAGAGACATTCTGTAGGGTGGCTAATTTTTCTAATCCAACTTCTCCATCAACGTTCAGGAGGTCCCTTGTTATCTTAATCTCACCAACGGCTCTACCTCTTTGTATTCCTTTTAGGCCTTTTCTTAGTTCCCGTGTTGTTACTGGTAGGATGTCAGATTCCTCTAGACTGTTATGGTTTGTCACAATATTATTCTGGCTATTTTTGCTTCTGTACAGCTCTCTGTAGAATTGCGCTGCCACTTTGACTAATCTATTCATAATGGTTATGACATTGCCTTACTTGTGTTTTAATGCATAAATGTGATTTTTTAATGCACAAGTTTGCCTTCACAGCTTTTAGGCTTCCAGCGCTTTTTACAGCCTGCTCATTTCTGTTCATGTTATATTTTTTGACGTCGGCTACCTTACGCCTATTGATTAACTTCGAAAGCTCAACAAGCTCTGTTATGTCGGTTGCATATGAGGATTTCATGGTTTGTCGTATCGTAATGAGATGCTTCGTAACCTGAGGTAGTTTTATAGTGTCCTGTCTGATGAATGTACTTCAGACTTTCATTGCGCACTGTTTAATGGCACAAGTAACATCATCGTTCATTGTGTCAACGCTATCGTTGGTTAGCCCGATTAGAACCTTGAATCTATTCTGAAGTGATACTCGTAACTCCCGTACTTTCCCTCTCACCACTAGGGCATTACTCGGCTTATCGCGTATCAGTTTAAACCTTTCTTTTTCTAAATGAGCGTGAATACATGCTGTTATAATACTTTGGTCACTGCATCGGATGTTGCCAAATACAATGCCCGGGCGCGCACACAGAATGAAGCGATTTTTAGTTTCGCCATTAGGGTTTCACAAGGTCCGCTTACGGTTAGCCCATTGTCTGGAGAAGGTATTCAAGATCCGCAAGTTGTTACGTTCTGCGAACTTTACTAAAACTGCCCTCAGGCATTTATCGAGTCAGTGCAAATTTAGGTGACAGGAAAGAGTAGTAAATTATGAATAACTGTAAATCTGAATCCGTTCTTGAAATTATAGAGCACATCAGGGGTCCGTTGTATCAATAACAGACCCTTTGTTATTCAAGACTGCAATTTCTCAGCAATGCTTGTAACTATACGCAGTTTCCATTATCTATCTTTGTCTTGTATGTGCTTGAATTCTTATACATTTTTAGTTGACTTATGTTGCCTTCCTGATTTGCGCATCTGATACTTGTTTCTTTATTTTGTCTTTTTTTTCTGGTGTGTTATATATGTTGTACCCACCCCCTCTGTAATGCCCTACGGGCCCTGAGGGTATTGTAATAAATAAATAAATAAATAAATAATAAAAAAATCTTGGACTGGTTTTGCTTTTATTTATATAAATTGGATTGTTATTATAGACGTATGCAAAATATAGTATTGTATGCAGATGACACGAATGTCTTTTTTTCTTGGATTAATTTGAACTACGTTTTGAGCAGGCGAATACATGGATAAAAAAACTTAAGTTTTGGTTGGAGGCTAATAAACTTCAACCTATTTAAAAAAAACGCAATTCATCTTATTCAAAGTCAAGGGAACGATATATCAACAAACTTTACCCCTGGTATTTCAGGGAACACCTTTACAACAGACATCAACCATCGGATCTTTGGGGGTAATATTTGACGAGAATCCCTTATGGGCATGCATTACATGTGGTTTCAGTAAGGAGTGATATCCGAAAATCAATCGGGTTAGTAAATAAATAAGGGCAGTTTCTACCACCAGATGCGAAACGCCCACTTTACTATGCACTTATACAGTCATGCCTCGCGTAATCCTTTCTGCTTGGGTCTACAACCAGCGAGACGAACTTGAGTTCACTTTTATCGTTGCAAAATCGGGCAATACGGCCAGTTGGAAATATCCCATATGCTTTGGGTGCAACTTCCTACTTCACATACTAAAAAAAAGTAAAAAAGTAAAAAAGTGCCAATAAATCACCTACTTAAAGCGAGGCGGTCGCTGGAGGTAATGCGCCAATATACAAGTAATAAAACGCTCTTCGAGGAAAAATATCTTATTAGACTAATACAAACTACGTAAAAACAAAATTTGCATATCCCGATCACGCACAGACTACGGCTTACAAAAATTGACAACAATTATACCAGACATTTTAAACGAATACCCAGGTATAATAAACCTACTGCAAAATTGAATCCCCCCAACTCAATTCAAAAAGCAAGTAAAAGAATTATTGTTTTCTAAGTTTAAGATGTTGTGCTCAGTTATGTACTGAACTGCTGCTATAGGCTGTGCAATGTATATCGGACAATCCATTTTTCTTAACATATACTGCCACATTTGTACAACTGTCTTGTGGCTTGATGTTTTACTGTTTGTTTTCTTCTCAAAGATACAAAAGCAGATTTAATTATTTTTTATTGTACCACAGAAGTGCTATTACGGTTATGTAAAACTGTGAATGACATCACGCACAGTTGAAACTGCTGTCTGGGTGATGCAGCCTAGTCAGGCACCTTGCGGGCCTTTTGCTGCGTCTTCTAAGACAATTGTAAATTGCCTTGTATAAATTCTGAATGAATGAATGAATGAATGAATATTCCCCTACTGCATAGTCTCCGGCCTGTTTCTTGCCCACTTTGACATTCAAGTTGCTCATCAGATTGGTATAATGTGACATTACAATATAATGGCTTAATCTACGTCTTCATAGATGCATTCAACAAAATTATTATCATGGCTCGATATAGGAATGTAGGCCTGTACAACCTTAATGTTGCATCTTTTTCAACCTAATTATGGTACTTGATTCTCTCTCAGTGAAGCTATAGTATTCCTGTTAGTTGCCAGTGAGAATCTTGTGTATAAGAAAACTCCAAGCCCAGTTATTTTCTGTCCACTAATCATCGAGAACATTGAATATGTCCGTTCTTCGGCAGTGTATAAGCCTCAATTGTTCTCCTAAGTTCGCTGAGCCCTACAAAATCCCATTTAAAACACTCTAATTCCTCGAATAGCACAGATAGACTAGCTCCACTGGATAGCATTCAAGCTTTTAACATAGCCAAGTTCAGATTCCAATTGCGGCCTCTCCGGACCCCGAGATTCTTAGCACCCTCCGCTGCGTCAAAGGTTGGACCGCCGCCTTGGACAGTTGCTTCGCAGCCGCTGGTGACTTAGGCCTAAAGGTTTTATGGTACTTTAATAAGGGAGGTAGTGGACAAGGGGGGCCTATCCTGCTCTGGTGAGGAACTGCATTACCGGCATGTGGTCGCCAGTTAGGCCACACCCCA